CATGATCCTTGATCCATTCTAGAAGATCATACAGTGATGTCCGTGCAGTTACCGCATGCATGTTTACAGCTGCATGTCAACACATTGTGTCAAGCAGCCCATTAGCTTTGTTGTGTAGGTCCGTTGCCTTGGTGTGTTTGAAAGCCATTTAGAATTATCAGTGAAAACCACTTCACATTATATCACTTATATTAACAACACCCCTCTATCCACTAAAAATAAAAGTTAGGTATACACCAGTTAGTCCTATTATCCATGGATATCCAAGGATTTATTCCAAAGTGGGGCTAGCCAGAGGACGATTAGGGAACAGAGATCTGCTAACCCTATTTCATATGGACTGTGGTCACACCATCTCCAGTGCCTATGGGTTTCTACCTTCGGCTTTCATTCTTATGGAAATTGAACTTGTATTAGTTGATTTGGGGTACTTACCTTCTCCAGGCATCCCTAGATTTATATATGTATTATTTATATATAGGAGGTGTAAAGGTTCATGTATGAGGACCTGTCAGTGCACAAGCAGTCTATGACAAGACGTAGGTCAGGCAGTTTACTCTTTGTTGCTGTCCCATCTGATTGCACACATGGCTGTACAGGGGGAAGGAGATGTACCCTTGTCTGATGGATAGACAACATTGCCTGGAAGACCAGAACATATGGGTGAGGAATGTACCATCTACCCTGTAAAATGTGTCCTCTGAAGGTTCCTCTTCCTAGATCAGAGGTGCAAAGAGGACAGAGAAGGTAAATGGAGAATCGAGGGTCTGCTTGTCTTATGGGAACTGGGGCTGCTACAGGTAGAAGATACAGCCGCTGGCTAAGGTTTGTTTAATGTATATATACACAGAAGACTTATGTTAGTTAGCCCCATCTGTAGAATCATGGTGGTAGCGCAGTACAAGGAGCAGAGACGGCTCTGTGTCCCAGAAACATTTTCATAGTCTACATCAACCTCCTAGAAGCTGCTCTGTGATTGGTTTCTCGGGGGTTGCAGCCGATCATTGCTCCATCCATTGCTCTGAGGTTACATTTTAATGCTGAATCATTGTACCCGGCATGTTGGAGAAAGGAGGCGGACACTCAGTATTTGGTGGGACATTCACGCAAAACTACATCTGTCGCTTTAGTTCCAAAACAGAACCAAAGATAATTGCTCACATACTTCCACACACAATGCTCATGCAAACTGATGATTGGAGCTTCAGCTGCTGTAATAAATGTCCCTCCTTATGTCTCCCCATCCCTCCCGGGTTACCTGCTTTCTGAGCGCTCCTCCAGGCAGACTTTCCGTCCTCCTCCATGTTGTCTCTGCTCTCATATGATGTTCCGTGGTCCTTGCATCCGGAGGGGAAGAGGTAGTGAGACCTCCTCTGTACCTACAAACTGTGGTCAGCCGTGTACGGGGACAGTAAGAACAAGAGTGTGACGTATATTAGAGACAATGGGGATAATTTCATAGTACAAGTGATATGGTGCACTTGTACTGTGGCCATACATAGCACACAGATGCATACATGATCCTTGATCCATTCTAGAAGATCATACAGTGATGTCCGTGCAGTTACCGCATGCATGTTTACAGCTGCATGTCAACACATTGTGTCAAGCAGCCCATTAGCTTTGTTGTGTAGGTCCGTTGCCTTGGTGTGTTTGAAAGCCATTTAGAATTATCAGTGAAAACCACTTCACATTATATCACTTATATTAACAACACCCCTCTATCCACTAAAAATAAAAGTTAGGTATACACCAGTTAGTCCTATTATCCATGGATATCCAAGGATTTATTCCAAAGTGGGGCTAGCCAGAGGACGATTAGGGAACAGAGATCTGCTAACCCTATTTCATATGGACTGTGGTCACACCATCTCCAGTGCCTATGGGTTTCTACCTTCGGCTTTCATTCTTATGGAAATTGAACTTGTATTAGTTGATTTGGGGTACTTACCTTCTCCAGGCATCCCTAGATTTATATATGTATTATTTATATATAGGAGGTGTAAAGGTTCATGTATGAGGACCTGTCAGTGCACAAGCAGTCTATGACAAGACGTAGGTCAGGCAGTTTACTCTTTGTTGCTGTCCCATCTGATTGCACACATGGCTGTACAGGGGGAAGGAGATGTACCCTTGTCTGATGGATAGACAACATTGCCTGGAAGACCAGAACATATGGGTGAGGAATGTACCATCTACCCTGTAAAATGTGTCCTCTGAAGGTTCCTCTTCCTAGATCAGAGGTGCAAAGAGGACAGAGAAGGTAAATGGAGAATCGAGGGTCTGCTTGTCTTATGGGAACTGGGGCTGCTACAGGTAGAAGATACAGCCGCTGGCTAAGGTTTGTGACTTATGGTACCAGGACGAGCATTACATATAGTGGTTTTGGGCTCTACATTCATTGATATCTGGTGTGTGTATAGGACGTGTTTATGTATGTGTATATCTCCGGGTACGAGCAGTCCTGGCCCGGAGTCAGGCAGTATTCTCTTCACTGGCGCCCCATCTGAATGCATGTAACATCAGCACCTAAATGGAAGATAAACTAGAAAACAAAGTGGAAGAAGAGATGAAGACTAAAGGAAGGGAAGAGAAATGAAGAAAGAAGACTTTTATACATGATGTTACCTCCAGCCCCATTGGTGGTATTTCCACATATTCTGTAGCTGCGGTCCAGTGGTACATGTGATCCCCGGTGGGAACAAATTACTATATGTGGAGTTGGGAAGGAATTCTCTTTTCCTTCTGAGATATAACTGACCAGAAATGTCTCCGGAGGTTTTCTTCACCTTCCTCTCCATCTGAAGAGCCGTGAATTCTAAGGCCAACCTCCAGGAACCTCTCATATTTGTGATCTGGGACTTCCTAGAGGCTCATTGAGGCTATTTTTTTATTGCTGCCCATTGGTAGATAAAGATATTCCCATTTACATTATGGGCGTGTCTATTTCTTCATATACCCAGCAGAGCCCCAAGATACCTACAGTGGTGCCAGTCCATCATAGCTGTTGGTTCTTAATAGAAGAGGCTTACATTGTATTTGAGTAGACACCCCAACCATCTTATCATTGTCTATTGGTTAGTGAGAGAGCTCTCATTGGACATGGGGGTGGTAGTTAATGGATGAGGAACATTAGGACTCTGTACTGAAGGGAAATTAAATCAAACAGGGGCTCAGAGTAAATATTTTTTGGATAATAAACGTGTTGTGCAATTTGTCCTCTTATTTAGGACATCAACATGGAGTACAGGTTCACTTTAGAAGGACATCCCCATTCTTATGGTTTATAGGGATCTTTGGCATGACATGGAGTCAGAGCAGAAGTATCGCTGACACCCAGACAACTAGCATTTCCAATAGGAGGCCAGCAATGGCAGCCTATGTATTCCTCCTGCACTCCTTCCTCTCCTCTATCCCCAGTCTGCTCCTCCCCCGTCCCCTCCTCCCCCGTCCTCTCTGCTATCCATGTTCTGCTCCTCCTCCGTCCCCTCCTCCTGTGTAAGTTGCACCTCCCGCTATTCTGGTCTATACATAGCACACACACATGGAGAATGTCAGAGGAAGGACAGACTCCTCGCTCATATGATCCCGGCATGTTCAGTACAGTCAGTCTAAGAGTCAGGTAAGGCCCGGCCATCCTATCTGAGATCTCAGCGTGCTCAGCAAACACAGAGTCATGGAAGAATACTTTATTAAATGTGTATTTTATTATCAACATTTTAAACATCAAAATAAAAAATATAACAGATCAAATTATAACATTGTAACCTGAAATAAAATTGACATAAAAATGTACAGTTCCCGATCCCTTCCCACCGGGTGTATGGACGTCTGTCAGCTCTGGTCAATGGAGGGAGCTGTAAGGCTGAGTTCAGATAACAATGGAAGTGTGAGGTTCCTCAGGGGCGGGGCTGTATTGGTTCCTCAGGGAGCCAACTACATCTAATGCTATATACAAAGATACATTGTACACACGAGGGAGGTCTGACTCCAACCCACTGCTTGGGCAGATGATCTGTGAAGCTCAGACTTTGCCTTAAAGTGACATTAAACTCTCAGATTTTGTAACATAAAACAATGCTGTAATGTGCTTCTTACTGTAAGCCATGGTTGCTTCCCTTCTCTTTGCTGCTCTTCCTTTTAAATCCTTATCTCTTCTCATGCTGGGAGTGAACTTCTGTTTTGCAGCAGACTGCCTTGTCTCTGGAATGGATACATGGTGTCTGTGTGCAGGTTCACAACCTGAGCCAGCACTACAGGAAGAGGCACTCAGCTGCAAAGGGAAGTTCTCCCCCAGCATGAGAAGACATGAGGATTTAAAAGGAAGAGCAGCAAAGAGAAGGGAAACAACCATGGATTACAGTAAGGCACACATTACAGTATTGGTTTATGTTAAAAAATCTGAGGGTTTAATGTCACTTTAAAGTAAACCTGTCAGGCCAGAAATATCTGGTAGGTGTGAGATAGTGCTGGACCAATGAGAATGGGAAGTGGTACTAATGAGTATAGACCCCGAGTTGTCATCATTGTCCTCCCTTCACTACTTGTGGAGTCATTTAATTGGAATAAGCATGGAGTCAGGTGAAGGCTGAAATGTCTGATCTCCCATCCTGCACACTGGCTCTGTGTCACTGTCTTATTAGATGGTCCCGGATCAGGATGACACTTCTGGAGCTTTTATCTTGAAAAATTAGCACACAGGAATCTCCCACATCTCTACCATCACAGGTTCTCTTGGTGGAAATCATATGTACTATGGAAGGTGTACAGGGAAGGGAGGTCATGTCTCTGATATTTTATTTGTATCCTTTATTTCTTGTATAATTTTTCTCCCCTCCCCCCCCCATAGATATATTCCATTATAAATGACTACAAACACTCTCAGTTGGGGTCGTTGTGGGAAACGTTTCCTATAAGATTACAGGGATCAGTGTATGTATAATGGGGGCAATAGAGAATACATCCGTCTTTTCCCAACAATCACAGAGGGATCAGTGCGGTCACACAGCTTTTCTATCACAGATCCAGTGCAGTTTTTTATATTGGCTCTCCAGTATCAGACGTGATCCGAGCTTGGCACAGCTTCCAGTCCCTTCACTGACAGTCCTAGATAAGAGATAACATTGGATAAGAGAATTCCCATAGTCATTGCTGCTGAGAAGTAAAAGGAAGGGGAGTGAGGGGACCATGGAGAAAATATGTACATAGATCTCCACTTATGTAGTTGGGTTTGGTGCACACTGGAGTGGCTGGTGATTGGGTACCATAGAGGGCACTGCACAGATATGACATGTCCAGTCCTATTAGGGGAGAATGTGACTGCAGTGTTTCAGATGGGTTGCTGGTTCTGGTCAATGGAGGGAGCTGAAAGACTAAGTACAGATAACAATGGAAGTGTGAGGTTCCTCAGGGGCGGGGCTGTATTGGTTCCTGAGGAAGCCAACTACACCTAATGCAACATACAAAGATGCATTGTCACCATGAGGGAGGTCTGACTTCCATATGAGAGGGGACTGCCATAGGAAAGTTACCACAGGAGGATTCATGAGGTGCCAGAGGAGGACTCCCATAGAAGATCTGCCATACTTCCTGCCTGCTAACAGGAAATGATAACAGTCTTCTGTACTTGTTTGTTTCTCATTGGCTCTCAGGACTCAGTAAAGATAAAGAAACATCAGTACTGTCATCCAATCACAGGGTGTGCAAATGTTTATAGAGGAAGAAGCAGAAGAATGGCATCCTGCAAAGATATTCTCCTGAAACATTTTGAGGGGAAAATATCAAAAGTGGAGCAGACAAAATCTGGAGCAGCTGAACATAACAACCAATCAGCTTCTCTCGTTCATTTTCAAATCTTAACTGAACAGACTGAAGAGAGAAGCTGATTGGTTGCCATGGGCAACTACTCCAAATTCTGTCTGCTCCACTTTTGATAATTCCCCCCAGTGTATCTGCTTCTCAGGAGAAAATAAAGTCTTAAAGTGATACTTACTCCGTGCTGCCATCTGCCCATCTTCCTGTCCACGTTTCACCATGATTGTAATATCGGGTTAATCCGACCCAGAATTCCTTTCCTGTGATGGTCACCAGTCTCTGGAGAACATACAACAGAAAATTAGCTGTCTACTCGTCTGTCATCCCCTCACCTTCCACTGCTTCCAGCCAACAATTCTCCAGATGGAGATACAAAGCTATAAGGCTTGGAAGGCTTTTCTAGTGTAGCCCCTATATAGATGAATATATGTGCTACTGTGTAGATCGCTATTTCTGACTGCCAACAGTTAATTGCCTCGGTGTGTAAAGAAAGGCGGAGATTTATGGGGATTGCAGAGCAGATATGGATACACTGCTTAAAGGACCTGGAGAACTGCAACTCCCAGGCTACTGTGCGAGAGGGAGGGGGATGGCTATGGACTGGGAGGGCTGAGCGCGCTCAGTCTGCAACCAGGACCTGAAGTGTCCGGATCGATGTGAGACCGTGTGAGTTAAGACTGCCTGTAGCGGGGTGTGTGGTCGCCCCTGATAGACAGAGACACACAGGCTCTGTGCTGCCATGCTTGAGACGAAGAGACTGAGATCGGGCGCCTGAACAGAGGCCTAGTGATCGGCGGGGATATTACGGCCTGGCTGTGTGGCTGATCCAGCCACTGGAGTGACCCAGCCAGCCCAGCAGAGCGAGCGGAATCAAGTGGAGATCGTTACCGGAAGCTTTAGATGACCCCAGACGTGCGGTGAGGTGCTCCAAGAAACCCTAGACAAGTGGTGATGAGCTGCAGGAGACCCTAGATGACCTCATCTCCTTCCTAAGTGTCGTTCCGCCGAAAGAGGGACGTCTATACAGCTGCTGAAAGACATCATCTTGTGCAGGACAACCCTGGGAGTGGTGAGAGGCCTATGGGCCAATGTGACAATGTCCTTTTACACATCTGCTACACAGTATGGGCCCCAACGTTGGCTAGCCTAGGACATTACTACTGGCCAGTAGTCTAGAGGGGTGTGATACTTCCAAAGGGAGATATTATTGTTTGATTCCTCTACTCCTAGATTTACTCCTGAGACAGTCTGACGTCACAGATCTCTGTATAGGCAATAGATAGCCGCGGTCACTGGATGTCAGAGTGCATTGATCTTCCATTTATTGTATAGCGTGCGATTGGTACGTTATTAAGAGACTTGTTTTGTGTTATCCAGCCATTAAATCCTTTACAAAAACTCTACAAAGGTGTGTTGGTGTGCTGTGGATCCATCAATTGGGCGGTACATTGGTGCAGAGGGGACAGAAAGACCTGTTACACTAGCGGCTCCTACGGGGGTAGCGCTACACTAGAATTCCCCATTCACATTTAGATGTCTACACAACAGAGGTATTTACAGGTCAATAAAATGCTTAAAATATGTTAAATGCTCATATAATATAATGGGAAGACTGCTAATGAAATGAATGGTCTGGTGACAGGGTCTCTTTCCCAGAATCCCCCATTATCTCTCATATGGGCTCTTTACAATATAGGGAAGACATTACAAATCACAATACAATTCCGGACAAGATGGTAAGGAGGGCCCTGCCCCTGAGGGCTTACAATCTAAAAGAGGAGGGGGAAGTGATACATGAGGAGGGAGCTGTGTGGGGATGAATTGTTGAGCGGTTAGGTTGAGGTGGGATCAGCTTCCCTGAAGAGATGAGTCTTAAGGGATCGCCTAAAGGCAGTCAGAGTGGGAGATAGATGGACAGGTTGGGGGTAGAGAGTTCCATTGGATAGGAGATACTCTAGAGAAGTCCTGGAGGCGAGCATGGGAGGAGTTGGCAAAGGAGCTAGAGAGCAGGAGATCTTGGGAGGAGCGTTAATATTTAGAATTGTATCATTTGGGCAATTGGAAGCCAGTGGGGGAATTGACAGAGGGGGGTTGCAGACACTGAGCGGTTGGTTAGGTGAATGAGTCTAGCAGCTGCATTCATGATAGACTGAAGGGGGGAGGAGCCTGTATAGAGGTCGGCCAATGAGGAGGGAATTACAATGGTGAAGACGAGAGATAACAAGGGAGTGTATGAGTAATTTTGCGGTGTCATTGGTGAGGAAGGGGCGTATTTTGGAGATGTTACGAAGGTGAAGGCGGCATGATTTGGATAGTGATTGGATGTGGGGAAGAAAGGTAAGGTCCGAGTCAAGGATGACACCTAGCACCTTGGAATGAGGGGAGGTTTGGTGAGGGGGAGAGTTGTGGAGTGGAAAGATAAATTTGAGTGTCATCGGCATAAAGATGGTATTGGAAGCCATGTGAGGTGATCCGCTGACCAAGAGAGGAGGTGTAGATAGAGAAGAGAAGGGGTCCAAGGACAGAGCCTTGGGGGACCCCTACAGGAAGAGGAGGGGAGGAGTTAGATTTGTAGGTGACACTGAAGGAGCGCCTAGACAGGTAGGAGGAGAACCACGAGAGAGCCGAGTCTTGTAGGCCAAGCGCGTGGAGTTTTCTGAGGAGGAGCAGGTGGTCAACTGTGTCAAAAGCAGCAGAAAGGTCTAATAGCAAGAGTAAGGAGTAGCGGGGGGTCAGAGTAAGGAGTAGCGGGGGGTCAGAGTAAGGAGTAGCGAGGGGTCAGAGCAAGGAGTAGCGGGTGGTCAGAGCAAGGAGTAGCGGGTGGTCAGAGCAAGGAGTAGCGGGTGGTCAGAGTAAGGAGTAGCGGGTGTTCAGAGTAAGGAGTAGCGGGAGGTCAGAGTAAGGAGTAGCGGGTGGTCAGAGTAAGGAGTAGCGGGTGGTCAGAGTAAGGAGTAGCGGGTGGTCAGAGTAAGGAGTAGCGGGTGGTCAGAGTAAGGAGTAGCGGGTGGTCAGAGTAAGGAGTAGTGGCCATTGGTTTTAGCTGTTAGTAAGTCATTAGTGAGTTTTAGGAGGGCGGAGTCAGTGGAGTGTTGGGGGGCGAAAGCCGGACTGTAAGGGATCAATGAGATTGTTATCAGCGAGGTGGCGGCTCAGGCGATTGTAGACGAGGCATTGAAGGAGTTTGGAGGTGAATGGGTGTAAGGAGATTGGTCTGAGATTGTTGAGGTCCGTAGGGTCCAGTGAAGGTTTTTGGGTATTGGGGTGACCAGGGCATGTTTCAGAGGGGATGGAAAGATTCCAGTAGAGAGGGAAAGATTAAAGATGTGAGTCAGAGAGCGTAGGATAGGGGAAGGTGACTGCACAGCGGCCATTTCGCCTCGGATTGCATGTATTTTGTTTTTGAAATGAATGGCAATGTCCTGGGCAGTGAGTGAGTTAGCGGGTGGTGGGGGGGAGGGGCGGGGGACATAGTAAAGAGTTAAAAGTAGAAAACAGTTGACGAGGTCTGGATGAGAGTGTGATAATGAGAGAGACGAAATAAGTCTGTTTGGCAGCATGGAGGGAGGAGTTATATTTTAGGAGGGAGGAGTTATATTTTAGGAGGGAGGAGTTATATTTTAGGAGGCCAGCTTTGTACAGGGTGAAGTCTTGCAGAGACCCAGTTTCACGCCACACTCGCTCCAGAGTGCAGCCGTGTCTCTTGAGGTTTCTGGACATATGGAATATATTATATAAACATGGATTGCAGGACTTAGAACTTCATGTCATGGAGAAGTCTCATCTCATCACATCCTCCTCTGTCTGTCCTGTGTCAGTTTGTAGCTCCACCATAGAGCGGGATTCTGACACTCGTCACATTGATGGATCGGGTCCCCCTGCAGAACAGGCTTAGAACCCCCAATCTAAGCGGGAGAGTGATTCCTATACAGGAGCCCGATATATGTCCCACCAACTGCTCTCCTCCCCACCCCACACCCTGTGACCCCGACACTGACCCGTATGGTTTCCTCCTTCACAGTGGCCAAGCTGGAGCCGCGTTCCTCACAGTCTTTAGCACTTTCTGTACGGGACTTCTGGATCTCAGAGAAGAGATAACATGTGTCATTGATGGTGATCCAGAGATCCGGACATCTAGGAGGCCGTCCTGTAATATGGAGTAATAGAGACCTTCAATAATGACGGAGAGAGGGCGGGACAGTCTGAACATATAATGTTCAGCATAATTGTCAGGGTCCCGGGCACAGGTGTCCCCACACCGCATGCAGGTACCCACGCAGGCAGACCAAATTAGTGTGACCACACTGGATGAGGTTATGCACACAGTTTATTGTTACACAGCAAACAGGAAACTACAAACCCCACCAAGACCCACAAGCTAGCACAAGCAGTGAAACGACAAAACTCAAATAGAACAAAAACACAACTACAGTCACAAGGAACAG